TGCAGGCCCCTAACATATAAGTAGCCCTCCTCTGGACCCTCTCAAGGTTATCCACATCCTTCTTGAAGTGTGGTGCCCAAAACTGGATGCAGTACTCCAGCTGCATCCTTACCAATGCCACATAGAGGGGAAGTATCACCTCTGCACTGGTCCAAGGATCAAACCTTGGGGGACCCCACTGCCCACATCTTTCCAGGTTGATACCAACCCATCCACCACCACTCTCTGGGTGCGTCCCATAAGCCAATTCGCCACCCACCCAACCGTGTAATCATCTACAACACAGCTGCTTAGTTTATTTATAAGAATGGATGAGACACTATTGAAGGCCTTTCTAAAATCCAAGTAAATGACATCTACCTCAGCTCCTGCATCTAAGCATTTTGTGACCTGGTCATAAAAAGAAATGAGGTTAGTCAGGCAGGATCTACCTGCTATGAATCGATGCTGGTTGCTCTTCAGAAATATTTTTCCTGCTGGACTCCCACAAATGTGATCCTTAATATTTTTTTGAAGGTTTTTCTGAGGATAGAGGTAAGACTAACCAGCTTATAGTTACCCAAATCCTCCTTCCTCCCTTTCTTGAAAATAGGGACCACATTGGCTCTTTTCCAGTCCTCTGGGATTTGTCCTGAGTGCCACGACTGCTCAAACAGTCTTGCCAGTGGTTCTGCTATGACACTGGCTAATTCCCTCAGCACCATTGAATGAAGATCATCTGGGCCTGCTGACTTAAACACATCCAGCCCCTCCAAGTGTCCCTTCACTAGGTTGGCGCTAACTGTTGGTGGGCTGGTGTCTCTCTTGTGCCCGTATATAATCCAACTGTGAGATATGGATATGTCTTTTTCTGTGTTCAGGAATACTGATGTGAAAAACTCATTGAAGAGCTCAGCTTGGTCACTCCTATCTGTCACCAATTGCCCTAGTCTGTCCTGTAGGGGTCCTATGTTGCCATGTGCCTTCTTTTTGATCCCTGTATACCTGAAGAAGGACTTTTTGTTGTCTTTAATTTTTTATGCCAGCCTGAGTTCCATTGCTGCTTTGGCCTTTTCTAACTGACTCCCTGCAAGTGCAAGCCAAGTAGGTATACACCTCCTTGGTGGCTACCCGTTTCTTCCACAGTCTGTATGCCTCTTTTTTTGCCCCTAGGCTTTCCTGGATTTCCCTGCTCAGCCAAGAGGGTTTCTTGGCCCCTCTGCCCCGTTTTATGTGCAATGGGATTGTTCTCTTCTGTGCCCAAAGGATCATTCCCTTGAGGACCACCCTTCCTGGACTCCCATCTCACAATGCTCTTGACCTTCAGTGCCTCTCTTACTAATCTCTTGAGCTCATTGAAGTTAGCCTTTCTGAAGTCTAGCACTTTTGCCTGCTGGTTATCTTTCCCACCTTTTGCCGAATAGTGAATTCCAATAATTGGTGGTCCCTATCCCCTAGGTTACCCTGTATCTGCAGACCTCCCACCAAGTCATCCCTTGTAGCAAACACCAAGTCCAGTAAGGCATTTCCCCTAGCATATACTTCTTGTGTTAGGTGAAGGTCCTATATGCAGATTAAGAACCTACGTGAATGATCAGATCTAGCTGATTGCTCCACCCAGCAGATGTCAGGGTAGTTTAGGTCACCCATGACAACCATGTCCCTTAAGTGTACTGCCTCTGAGAGCTGCCTTGAGAATTCCAGGTCTAGCCCATCCTTCTGGTGTAGCAGTTTATTTAATCATTGCTTAAGTTTTATCCTTATTAAATTTTTACTTCTTTTATTAGCTGGCTTTGAGGTGTTTTTGTAGAGCTTGTAGGTGCTCATTATATTATATCTTTTTTTAAATCACTATGAGAAGTTATTTTAACATAACAGCAATGGCCTTGTTACCAGCTTCAATTAACTAAACTTGGCACTAATCAGCTAAATCAGATGGATGAGGATTGGATATATTAATGAAAGGTGATAAGGAAGACCAATGGACAATGCCCAAAGTAAGACACTGGAAAAAGGCTGAATAAAAAGGTGTGCTTGTGATGGGACTGTTAGACAAAGGAATATGTTAATAGGATAAAAGATGGACAGTAAGCTGACTGAAGAAAGACCAGTCTGAAGGCAGAGTCATCAAAAGGGTGAAGCTGAAGAAAAGCATAAAAGGGGGGAGCAATAAAGTTAGTTGTTGTTGTCGTCATCATCAATCTAACCTTCAACACCTGTCTGAACCATCCCAGTCCATGATGTACCCTTTGCCTCCAGGAACTGAGTGGCCATCATTTATATTTAGCAAAGTAACATCTGGGATTGGGTGTGATTACTGTACTGAATGTTTTTCTCTTGCTGAATATAGAAACTGTTAAGATAATACTTGTTGTATTAATAAAGTTTGACTTTGATTTTAGGACACCGGGTTGTCTGCATTTGTATTTGATGTTCCATTTAAGGGTTAATTGTGCTTTCACAGTCTGTTAGCACTATCTGGGAGACAGTGGTGATAACAGTGCCCCTGGTCAGTTCTTTCAGGAATCAGGCAAGGGAGCCACAGGAGGAAATGGATAGGTTCAAAAGTTCTACAAACATGGGGCCTTCATCGGCTCAATGCACAAAGACCTCCAGCATCATGGAAGAGGGACAGCCAGAGAAGGCATAGGAAGGCACAGAAAATAGATACTTTGGAACATGAAAGATGGCAATTTGTCACCTCTGGCAACACATAACACTACTTTTCCAGACCTCTGGCTGTCCAGCTGGAGAGCAGCTATGAAGCCTTGGCATTGGATGAGAAGGAGCCCATGCCAGTGACAGGAGAGGCCAACCCACGCACCCCTGAGGGAGTAGGGAGGATTGGGCCCACTACTGCCAAAAGGAAGCAATGGCTGGTGGTGATTGGGGACTCCCTCCTGCCATGGAAGCATTCATCTGCCAGCCTGATCATCTACACCTGATCATCAATACTCAGTCACCATCAGTCCAGCATGACTCTTGTGTATGAAATCAACCCTGCCCCTCTGTAGCATATTTAGAACTCAGCCAGGCATGAAGGCCTTGAGCACAGGAAGTACCCCATCACCAATCCTTTTCTTGACATCCTGCCTTTCTATACCACACTTATCTTTTGCCCAGAAGAAACAAGAAGTAGACCTCGGACTGATTCCTAGAAGCTTTCTGCAAGAGAACCTGGGATATGTCTTAGAACAGCATGCTAAAAAATAAAAAGCATAATGTCAATGGTTTTGGTGTGGACAGGGAAGGGTGGCTTGCCATGGGTTAGTTGCATTGAGGACCAAAGGATCTACCATTAATATCAGTGTAGTCATTCCGTAGATTTGAATATGAAACCAAGGTAGACATGCACCCTTATAGACTAAATAAAATATATAGAGAGAACACAACCTTTTGTGAATGTCAAGTTCATATCTTTGACACATCATTAATGACCTCCCCTGGAAAAGGATGACCATCTCAAGGTAGCCATAGGGGACAAACCTGTCCTGGTTGCAGACAGCCCCCCAACATCAAATGGTCTCTCTCAAACAACCCAACAACTCCTATCCTTACCAAGGCACCAGACCTTGTAATAGATCCAAGTGCCTGTTGTGCCCCCAAATCAATGCAGAATACATCATCGCTGGATTGAATAACAAGGAGTACAACATCCAAGGTTCATTCACCTACAACTCCAATGTCATCTATGCCATTGCCTGCTTACAATGCCAGTCTGGTGTCAGCATTGGACAGACAGGGCAGGGTGATCTCTACGTGTAAGAATGAATACTGATCTGACATCTGAAAAACACAGATGCCTGTGGTAGAACACACTCACCTCCCTGGACACTACATCGCTGACTTCAGGATTGCTGTTGTCAGGCAGAATTTTTTTTTAAAGTTTGAATGGGAAATTGCAGAATAAGAAACCATCTATAAACTGAACTGTATTAAGTATGGTTTAAAAGAGACTATGGATTCTTAGCTTTTGTGATCCTTTTGTTCCTATGGGTTCTTTGCTTGCGTGCCTCTCATGGCACTCCCCCTCCCCCCTTTCCCTTACTCCTGTTTTCCTACTTACTATATTCTAATCACTCTACTCTATATTCTGCTCTATGCTGTCCTTTCACAGCATCTGATGAAACAAACTTGGGTTCATGAAACCTTGTGCATGCTCTTTCTCTCTTTCTCTCTCTCTTTCTCTCTCTCTCTCTTTCTCTTTCTGTATACGTGTGTGTGTGTGTGTGTGTGTGTGTGTATCTCCAGGCTCGCCTATGGTCATATTCTAATAGAGGTGGTTAGCTATGTTAGTCTCAAGTCATTTAGAAGGCAACTTTATAGACAACTCAATAAGATTCTCTCTTTAAACTACAATATTCATCAGCCTAACCGCTGGGGTTCTTTTTTACCACCTAAATCTGCTAGATGCTGAGCTGCCTCATATTTACTGTCTTACAAGAAGCACTCTGTAGGACCAATGTTGGAGAGGTACATTATGAAGAACAGGAGTTCTCCAAAAGGATTGTCCCTATAGAACTATATTCTGTAGCCTTGCTTGACTTTGGAGTTGCTGTTTTAGTCCAGCAAAAGAGATACTGTAAATGGCAAATCCCTAACAAGAAATGTGTGGCTTAATGTGCATATGCCAAGAAACACAATGCCCAACCTTTGGCTTCTAAGTGTAACAAGATTTCCACTCTGCATTGCTTATAATCCACCTCCAAAAGTGGAGACTTTTGAATAAGTGTTTTTAAAAGCTTTTGATTTTAAATTAAAATCTGAGTACCTTAATATATCTTATTGCATTCCCATGTGTGTATGATTTCACAGCTCACAACCGTGGATTTATTGAAAACTAAACTTTGTTACAAACAGGAAGGTGAAGTAAGCACAACAGCTTCTTAATAAATGAATCAAAAAGGGTTGCTGCTGCAGTATCTAGCACCAAAATAGAAGGCAGTCATCAGCATGTGACTGCTCACTTTACCATCCCAACAGCACTGCACTTGGTACCAGACAGCAGCTGCAGCTAAAAATAGAGACTGATAAGCAACAAGAACTTTAGTTAAATACAAAAGCCACCCGCAATGCCGGAAAGAAATCAAAGGCAACAATGAAGTCGCTGCGGTTCATTAGTGCTGAGGCATTGGTATCAGATGCACAGCTTGCCAGGAAAAGTATCAGCAGCATTGCAAATAACCTCTTTCCTCTTCTTTTTAAGGCCAGTTATTTATTGGAGCAAGGGGAAGTGATTCATGATCTTGTGGAAAACTGGCCACTGGAAGACTTTAATATAGGAAAACTGTTGGGGAGAACAGTGGATCACCAGGAAGACATCACCAGCAGAGCGTGCTGTGTGTGTTTGGAGAATTGTCTAACAGGGCTGAGAGATTACGTGCTAAATTGCTCTTCTACATACGCAAAGAGACTGAAAGTGGTGGACCTAACAGAAATAAAAGATGTTGAATTTCAGCTTTGCAAGTGTAAGAAGACAATGGGAAGGTGGGCCAGGACAGAGCTGTTATCCAAGCTCTGCTTTGAACTCCTTGTTGAGATGCAAAGGGTGCAATTCGATCCACGTATCTTTGACATCCGTATCGACATCCTCATCAACCTGTTTGTCACAGAGCGGAACTATGAGCTGGTAGTCCAGGCCTTGCTGATGAAGTGTCACTGCCCACTAAAGATTCACTGTGTGGCATTCAGAGCTGACAGTCTCGCTTTACGGAAGTTTTTCTACATTATAAAGCTCACAGACCCCTCTTCGCTGCGCAAGCTGGAAATTGTTCACAATGTTCGCCTGGAAATGGAGCACTTGGAAATGCTGCTTGCCAGTGTCCACTTTCCTCTACTGACATCACTTACCCTGCCGGCCAGAGCATTCAATGTGGCGAGGCTGACAGCAGAGGATGAACCAATCCTTACCAACATTGGAGAAAAAATTAGCCGAATGACACAGCTGACAGAGCTGAGCCTGGCATTCTCTACACTTACGGGAAGAATACGTAAACTGCTCAGGTAATTGGTTTTAAATAGCGTGACTAAATGAGCGAGGAGCCATTCCCCAGTGGTGATGATCTAGGCATAGGCACTGATTCTGTGGATGCGCCAGGGCTCAAGCGCCCACTGAAAAAAATTAGCAGGTGCTCAGCACCCAAAAGCCACATTGGGTGAGCTGGGTTGAAGTAACACATTGCCTCGTCTGGGCATGTACGGGGATCAGCCCAGGAACACCAAAATTAATAAATAAATAAAAGCACCCACCAGCAAAAACCAAAGTTGGTGCCTATAGATCTAGGGCTTCCCAAGGCTAAGGAAAGGGGTAGGGAGCACAGAGATAATGAATGTGTTGTATTGGGGAACCCTTTGAGAGATGGGAAAGCAGTAAATTAGTCATAAATATTGATTACGGAGGATAAATTGAAAGCTAGTGATGCCTAATATGATTGACCTAACCAGAATGTAAAGTGAACTAAATATCAGATCCATGGTGGGTTGCTTTGGGTTTTTTTGCAGGGTCGAAAGACATTAAGCAATGGTGTAAGACCATCTAATGCTTCTCAGTGTACCTTCATGTTACAATGTGAGCACAATACTGTACCTACTGAAACTGGGTTAACACAACTGTACACAACAAATACGCATCAAAACCCAGTAATTGTGGACTTCATGGTGGGGTGGGGAAGCTATCAGTAAAGAGCTCTGTTGTGTTTGAATGGCTTGAAACAACAGTTTTATGTGATTGTTTTCAAGTAGCCCAATGAGTAGCTTTGCTGTAGAGGATGGGAATCAATACTGTAAGCATACAGTGGATAAGGAGTTGGTTGAAAGGGAAACCATGGCAGTTAGGTTAAAAGGCAAGGTATTAGACTGGAGAGAGGTTACTAGTGGCATTCCTCTGGGAACCACTGTGAGATCTGTCCTATGTAATATTTTTGTTAATGAGCTTGGCACAGGACCTTGGGAAGTCCTCTCCTGGATCAAAAATGGGTTAAAAGATCAGAAACAAAAGGTAAGATTAAATGGTCATTTTTCAGAACTTGAGTCCTCCAAATGCCTGTGCTTCACAACCTATTCATAAATGATATTGAGAAAGAAATAGATGGAGTGCTGGCCACCTTTGAATTGGTCTACATTAGCAGTGTTCAAATTATGCTACTTCTGATTGGGACCCTCTAGTAACATGAGGAAAGTTATTTAAGGTTCAGGCCACATAGACTGGGTCTCCTTTTTTTCTCCTGGGGCTTCATAGTAGTTTCATAGTTTCATAGCAGCTAGGGTCAGGAGGGACCTGAACAGATCATCTAGCCTGACCCCCTGCCACAGGCAGGGATTAATGC